CCTTGAGACCATCACCAATTATCGCTGTTTTCTGTTTTTTTACGGCCACGGAAGCAATCAGCACTGATGCGTTTATGAACTATCTGGTACGTCACATTGTCAGAGCACCGGAGCAGCGTGGCTTCAGTTAACTTAACTCATGGATGTCTAACTCACTGAATGTAAGTGGCAACTGGACCGAAACAGCTGATCGAGTGGGGCTCAACATATTTTACCTGAACCACTTGAAAGCGTTGAAGTACCTTGACTATGGTACCTCGCTCCACAATCCCCAAGTTTATAGCATTCGCTACCCAATCCTTAGGTGTCTAGATAATTGGCTGTGCAAGCCTTTCTTAGATGTGAGTTCGGGGATTTCTGTTCAACTTAAGTGAAGACAGGTGTGACTATCTGTATGTTTTTGATGCCGGTGTTTCGTCTGTTCTTTATTTTCATTAAAGATCCAGTGATAGTTTATGCCTCTGTTCTCCTGTTCTGTATAGATGGCATTAGAGCTTGACGAGCGATCAGGGGACCTGACGACATTGTTGTACTTGTGAACTGGTCGGTTCTTAATAGGCCAGCATTCAACACAGATAAGTGGCGAGTCGTTCCAATACACCGATGACATGTTTACGTTTGTGTGCAGGAGTAAGCAGGCTACAGATCAGATACCGAAAAGGTGACCTCGATTCGCTCACACAGAAATAGCTTGAAGGCGCTTTAGAAAGGAGTGAGGAGCGCCCGTTTCATTGCAGTGGAAACCTGAGAGTGTTGGCCTACCTAGCATCTCAAGAATGCGCAATTATTATATAGCCTACCACGTAGAGTAATCTATCAAAGCTCCGTAAGCTTGAATGAAGCGCAGCTGAAATTAGCCTACAGTGTTCGATTCGCACGATCCGTTAGACTTAGTCGTCAAACGGACGAGCTGGAACGAGCGTCTAGAGCCAACACGAACTCTACACGCGTTTACATGATCCCGAAGGTGAGTGAGAGTGGAAAAACAGACTCTGCAATAGTCGCTTTTACTAGCCCAACAAATAGCGAATACAGTCTTGACCAGCCTCATTTTCATGCAAGATTGGTGATGTATGTGACTTGTCATATCGGACAGTCTGCGTAAGTTTAGCCAAGAAGCGAGGCGTAAGCAAGCGAATTGGCCCAATGTAAGCAGAACGTTTCGGAAACATGAGTATTTGTATGAGCGCAAGCTAGTCGCAGAAGTCAAATTGCCTTAATGCGCAGGTTGTTTTAATCATGTTCACTGGCATAAATGCGGTTGCCTGAGCGGAGTGTTTCGGATGTGGTCCCAGTGATCGAAACACCATAGGTTTGCTTCAAAGCAAACTTTAGCCTCAATCGAGATTGGTTATCGCAATCCAGACACACGGCGGGTAGTCCAAGACCCAACAATGCGGTTGTCTTGGCCTTACGTGTTCTCGATTGCGTAATATTGTGGGGGCAATTTGCCAGACAGTCATTCTTGCCTCGGCTGTTACTGTCGCTCTATAGTGCTTACAAAAATCGCCATTAAATATGGTACCAATAGCGGAAGCGCAGACAAAACGCTACAATTAGCTTTAGCCGTCTGAACTGAGTATACCATACAGCATTCTATGGTGTCTACGGAATCGCTGTTACATCTGGAGCTGACAACCATGCAATGCTCTCCGAAACTCAGTCGTTTCCTCCCCTAACGCTGTAGGTGCACAGAAATGAGTAGACATCGCTTTTAGCTCCTTACCTTAGGTTATGTAAACTGTGCTGCTCTAACAGGTTCCACGCTGATGCACTCTCACTGGAATCTTATATTGTGGGGACAGAGTAGAAGTTGCACAGGGAACGAGCGCTCCCATCTTTCTCATGCGAAGTCAAAACTTTGACCAATCCGTACACTGTTTTGTACGCAAACATTCAATTTGCAGATTCGCATCATGGTCACATCTCTGTACGCTTACGGCACTCGCATATTTCTCCCAGCACATAATTGCGACACTGATTCCAGAGTATGCGCTTAACTTGAGGACACGCAGAGCTTTCAGTTTTAGATTCTGCGCTTAATGATCCTGCGAGGCATGTTGATCGACAAAGTGTTCGCCCCTGTAAGTCATCGGTCGTTGATGAAGGTATCTAGTAAAACTGTAGGCATGATGTTTCATGTTTTTTTATAAGATTGAGGGACATTACTACTGTGGCATAAAGCAACAAACAGAATTGAGTAGGGGCTTATCAGAATTGAATGTCCGGCGCTTCTCCTGAACGACAAAAGATGTAATCACTCTGATCGGAATCCTCCGGTGCAACATGATTGTGTTTCGCGATCCCGTTTCAATGAACAGGCACACTAGTGTAAAGGATGGTCATCTGTGGCTGTGCCTTACTAAACAAATCTGTGGGATTTGGACCTGAAATCCATCCTGCGTTCCAGGACAGTGAGGAAGAATTACTCTAGTATAAACTGATAGTGGATGCCAAATGTGGAATCGAAGTTAATCTCTCCCAGACTACCAATGGGGAACCGCGATGACTTTGGAACTGCGCGTGGTAGGACCTTGCTTAAAATGGGCTCTTGAAGTGCGATCTAAGTAAGCACCGTATGCTTACTACCTATCTGTACGGGTTGCTGAAGATTTAGAGGGAGAAAGTCCAGGCATTAAGCTTACCTGTCAGTGATGAACCCACTGCCTGACATCCGCTTATCGCGGGAGGCGGAATCCGAGGTCCCATGCACTATTTATGTTAATCAGTTGCATCAAATGAGCGCATTCCTGCTGCTGACTGTATTCCAGGCTGCTAGCAGAGAGAAATACTCACCTCAAGATTCGGGATTCCAGCTTGGTCTCTGTGTCTTTCTTGCTCTTCCAACTTCGTTAGCCTCTTCTGAGTTTCTTCCATTGTCTGTCGCATGAGCTGTAGTTCCGTGAGTAGTCTATCATTGATGTTCTGTGAGAAGAAGCGGTGGTCTTAGTATTCCCTATTTTATTGCTAGGTGAGTTATTGAGGCATCAATATTGAGCCTATAAGATAATACTGCAGAAGGTAACATGCACAACGACTGTATTATCTCGAATGGTATTGCAACGGATTCTTACTACCTGAATGATCGGGACCTATGTTAATCTTTCCCCACATGGCCTATCAAATGCAGTCCTTTCAGCGAACTGTTGTAATGTTCATGTAACGTTCTCCACGGTTTGTTAGCGTGTTGCAATCCATTGCGAATCACTTATTGTTGCAACTGCTCCGTGTTTGTAATTTCGAACTGCTTTCGCGTTTATACTACTACGTGCATTATCAAAATCCGATAATCATTCCTCGATTGATGCAAATCATTTTCTCACTGATTTTGAGACGAATCAATTAATGCACCAAGTATATCCGGTCCGGTTGAATGGTCTTCACCTTTACCTTATTTTGCTTGCTAATGTATGTTTATGTCAAGGGATTTTGCCCCGTTGCTACGTACCCCGCCTGTTCTGAAAGCTTTAAGCAAATCTGGAGTGGAGAGGATTACGCATTTAATTTCCTCTTAGTTCTTCTGTATTGAAAATATACGTAGCAAACATGTTGCTATTTTGCATAGTGTTTTAGCTGGTTGTTTCTAATTAGGCGACTGAACGGTAATATCGACCGTTCCCCACCACTGATCCTTTCACAGCCAACAGCACCCAGATTGCATGAAGAGGGAAAAGAAACCTTGATTTTCCCTGTGAAATGTTTAGAGTGCTGAAGTCAAATCATAAAACCACCTAATTGAAATAATCGCATGCAACAGATACCGTACCGAATGCGGTATGTGCTTACTTGCAGTAATAAACGGTGTCTGTTTTCGTGCCGCAGCGCATCATCAACAATCCGAAGCAATCACCCTGTTTGGGTTAAGCATAGCGGACTGTGCAACCCAAGCTTCCCCAGTAACTGCTGCTCCTATCCAGAGGAGAACGGCTAGTAACACCGTAAGCAAAACGACACCAAGAGCTCAGAAAATCAACTGCTGTTCCAATAACTCAGGTGGCTCACATTTGACTAAAGCTGTTTCCAGTTCGATCGGAGTAACTCCACGCAAGGCTACTTCCAATCTCACGACGGAGTGCATAGAAAAGTGCAAGCCGGTACTAGCAAAAGTTGGGTTACGGCTGCTTCCAAGAAGAGCCGTCATTTAAAAGTAACCTCACTCCCAACTGGATCGGAAACAGAGGAGCGTAGCGGAGTTCTTCTGGTGCAAACACCACCATCTTCGAGTATTTCAATCAGTGACAGCGACATGTTGAAAGGTGTAAAGAAACAACTACCTGTACTGAGCCTACTATGCTCCAGTGTCCCCGAATCAAAACAGACGTCAATTAGAGACTGGCAGTTGGACGACATGAACCATGCGGGATATCACTGTTAACCGAACCGGACTTGTACTGAAACCTGTTCATTTGGTGCGAATCACGCGGCACCCCAACTCTAAGCATTTCGGAGAGCCAATACTTCTGAGCGTTGTGCTGAACTCCATCACTGAAATATAATCAGGACTGCTGTTGCCGCGTAGACTCAGAAATGAACACTGCTAAAGAACAGTGGTGTCATTATATTCGTGAAACAGTCTGCTTGGATGATGTGCTAACGAAATCCGTGTCACAGCTGCGTACCTCACCGAACTACAAAGGAAGTGACTCGAGTGTGTTGAAGGTGGTCCTTCAGTCCAAACATATGGTAGCACGGTGGCCAAAAACAGTTACATGGTTCGTTGCAGGTTACCATCTGAGCTTCTGCTGAAGACAGTCAGCGATATGCCTCCTAGAGATGATATGTCACTCAACGAACCAAACGCGATGGGAGCTATAAGAGAACAATGCACCAGTACTGTGTGTCTAAGGAGTACATACAACTTGTTGAAGATGATATTGATCAGACAGCTTACACTGTACGCAGAAGCTTTGACAGGGGACTAACTATGCGAACGATGAATAAGAGGTTGAACCCTTCTCCAAGTACCCACCACAAAGACCATTATTCGCCGACCACTCATTGGTCGGCGAAATTTCACGTATGAGTTGCACAACCTCCGAAACATTGCTACAACCTGAGAAACTTGCATGTATGTACGTTAAAGCCTAGGGGCTCCTCAGAAAGCTTACCGAATTTTGGCTACGTCAGGTTGCAAATGGTTTGATCCTAATTACCATTACCGAAACTTGGTTGCACCAATAAGTGACGGATGTTTATTTTGAAGTAGCAGGAATTTCATTCATGCGGAACGGCCGCCCCAGCAGCGGAGGTGTCGTCCTTCTCTACTACCGTAGCGACCTGCAATGTGCAATAGTTAATGATCTGGAAACTCACGTCACTGCCTCACTCTGCTGCCGTCTCGGACTAACAACAACACATGTCACATAGTTGTCGTTTACCTTCCCCCAACCTTCACTCTAGAAATGTACTTCCACTCTTTATGTGCCATGCGCAGGGTAACGTGCACTAGGTACAGCCACATTCTCATTTTCAGTGACTTAATTCTACACGATCTGGAGGTATCGGCATCACCCAGTGAACCGATCAAAGCAGACTTGCATGAACTTATCGCTAAGATTCCCTTGTACAATCATGTCACCACGCTCACTAGATTCGGGACAGCAAACAAACCGTTCATATTGACCCTGGTGCTCACGAATGAACAGCTCATGATTGATAAGTTATTGATGGGCAATCCATTAGGTCTCAGCAACTATGTACTTATAACATTTAGCTTTGTCTGTTATGAAGAGCATCCATATGAACACTCGGAGCTAGCTCATACAATCACACGCCACCACGTATTGAAAGAACTCGTCAAGGCGTTGGCTTTGGAATTCTCCAGCAACAGTCCACTTGACAATGTTTGAACAGAGTTCGTTGAAAGATTCAGCGACACAGTCACCAGAGCATCAGAGACTATGCCCCTTGGTCCAACATAGTGCCTTCAATTTTAGGGAGGAGAACGGGGAAACGCATGGCGATGAGTGATGCAGCATGGCGTGTGTACAAGGTTAACTCCGACTCAGAGACTAAGGGCAATTTCCTGACCGATCGCAACCATTGCACTGCACTTGTTTGTGAGAATAAAGTAACTTATCAACGGTGCATAGCTGGGACATTCCTGGCAAACAACAAAAGGCTATAGGACATTCAACAATCTTCGTAAAGTGAAGCATATCATCCCTGCACTTTTCACGACAGGCGGTAGATTACAAAGCGCCGAAGAAGCAGATAATACCCCGTGGCTACAATACGCTCCAATTTTTGGACTCGCAGCCTCTACCTTTTACATGACGTCAACCACATTAGCGAATCCATTGTTTACACATCTAATTTTCAACCAAGCAATTGTGCTAAGGAGCTTAATCCCACTGCGCGGTCAGAGCTCTCTGGGGGAAGACAACATCCGCCTGAAAGCACTGAAGATTGCAGCCACCAAGCTGACTGAAGTATTGTCACAGTTCTTCCAAAAGAGTTTCGATGAACAGCAAGTCCCCACTATGTGGAAGCGTGACATGTTAACCCCGATATTTAAAGGCGGTAGCCGTTCAGAGCTTGCAAACTATCGCCCAGTGACTGTCCTCCCTGTGTTTGTGAAGGTGATGGAATCGGTCGTCGCTGAGGATCCAATGGACTACCAAGGTAAAAAATTGGAAACTGAGTTCCATCATATTTTCTCCAGAGTGAGATTGCAGTTTATGTGCAAACTTACGGTGCTCATCAAGTAGTGACTTTCTGTCTGACGCTTAGCTGCTTTAGCTACCAGAGACTCATGCGAACGGAATGCTGCACATCAAGCCCGGTCGTAGGCGATGAATTTCCGCATTCCTTTTACACATTTGGGGCATAACTTGCATTGCATGGCTTCGAGTTGCATCGATTGAGATTGGGTTCAACACATTAGTATCATTCGTAGAAAGGGACATCGAGAGAGCATTGCTCACCTGCATATTCCGGGTCTCAGCCTGTCTTCTGTGTATCTCATTCTCCTCCAGTTGCGTCAGCCTGTTTTGAGTTTGTTCGAGTGTCTGCCGAGTGAGTTGCTGTTCCCTGCGCAGTTCATTGGTAATAGCCTGTGAGAGGAAGTAGCAGTCTCAGGAGTATGTTTCCGTTTACGGCGAGCAAAAATATAGCGGAATCATCGTTTAGTACATAATACGCAACAGAGAGACTGCGTTTTCTTGTTGCATGCTTCACATGGCAGTATTAGCACTCGGGTCATCGGTTCTTGCGAACCAAAGCAGATTTAACAACATTAGTGAATTTCTGAGATCACATTACCGTGCTCAATGAACTGATGCATAAATTTTGAATTACCATCTTCATTTTCAGTGCTTTTTTGGCGAGTCTCTTCTCATTGTTGTACTTCGGATATACAACAATTTATACTTGAATCTGACGTTGTGTTCCGTGATTACGGACTTTGAGCACCAACAAAGTATTCATGATATTCCACGGTTTCTCTTACTGGGCAGACAAAAGCGGGAGCACTGCTTCTACGGTGGCACACATACGGGGTCGATTCCGATTGGTCACTGCTTTTTCGCTGTAACATCCTGAGGTAGGGAGAAAACGCGTTTCATGGACTGACCACCTAGCCTACCAGCAGTGTCTAGCCCAGTGGTACGAAGGAGAGATGGATTAATAAAGACGAAAATGTCGAAACACTACAAGTCCCCTAGGGCGACAACGATATGAGGTGCACTACCAAAATTAAACGTGCAAACCAAGTTGCCACTTTGAGACCATAGTTGTTAATAAGCCTAAACACAATCTTCATACACAGCGTGCCAGAGCTTCCTTCTAACGATGTTCAAGAGGTTGGAAAGCACGATTTAGAACAGTGGGGATTCATATGTGAAACGATTTCCTTGGATACTATTGTGGCGCTATCGCTCAACAGGCTACCCCTCTCACCAATTTATAGAGGATGCGGCCCTAAAATGTTTCGGATCGATGTTGGAGGAATCGGAAAAGCCTTCCTTCCATAAGCAAGTGTCATTTCCTCAGGTAATCCAAAAGTTGGTAGTTCAGCTCATTGCAGTGGCACATCACATGTGACAACTTCAGTTTCGAATGTAGTCAAATGACTTTTACTTTGCATGGGCTGGCGATGGAACAATGGAATTTTAGTACATTAAAGGTAAAAATGCAAGTGTTTAGCATGTGCCATGAGATCGTCAACATGAGAACCACAAAGTGAAGAAACGAAAACTTGGTGATAAAATGAAAATCGTTTCGGTGAGCTTCCACACGATGATATATGTTAAAGTGCCTATTTCGAATGTGTACGGTGATGCTTGTTGTATAATGTTTGTCACATTATATCGTCTCTCGATGTGCACAACCTATGTTTTGTATGGTATGTGTGTTAGTGAAACACCGAGGAGTATTTAAAATGGGGTAATGCGAGTGTATAAACAAATTAATTAGGCAGGGCGTTCCGCGGCTGACAGTCACCAGGATGGTAACAGATCCGGTAACATTCTGGCCGGCTATGTTGCGTGGTCAATTTGAACTTGTGGCTCCTCAGGTTTGTCTTATGACTGATTTGCTGTGCGTGAAGGCAGACGTGGTTGGATTCCTCAGGATTTGGTGGAGGATTGCAGGTTGCCACTTAGACGCCGACACTAATAACTGCACAACCTTAGCATCCTGGCTTTGATATGGAATGTGGGAAATTCCTTCGACGTGCTTCGTGGCCTATCGCTTTGCGGTTTCCAATGCTGCGTGATCTTGCTTGTTTCCCGGCTGCCAGGCCGGGGTGGCTTATTTCAGTTGTGGCCCCACCTACGCGTTAAGCATCGGGAGGAAAACTAGGGGTTCTAATATCCCATTGCCAACCGCAGATGGCCAACGTGTTGCATCCCAATGTTTGACGCCTTCTCAGATTAAGCTCGTATGAAGTTCAGACTGAATTAATACCTCAAGGTCGCGTTGCTGGAGAACCGCACGCAAGTTGAGTACACAGGTTTACATATGCTACTCTGCTGATGACAAATGTGGACCACCTTACACGTGGATGAAGTAAACTAAAGCAGATTGTGGAATGAACATGTATACGCGGTGTCCAGAGCTCCTGGATGTGTCTCGTGATCTGGTTAGTCGGCGACCGCCCGCCACATGTTAATAGTACCAGAGGGAAGCAAGAACTCCGAGGCGATCAGTTGCCTGAGCTTGTTAATAAACACGTGGTATGGTAGTAAGTGAGTTGCTGAGTTGCCGGAGTTTCACTTGTGTCCGGCGCTTGTTACGTCACATGAGATTTAGGCCTACATGTGAGTGTTTGACTGATTAGGTACTCCGTATGAGAATTAACAAACGGCGGTGTACCACTCGAGTGACATCTGTCGGTTCATCTGAGAGGGATTCGGGAGAAAAGTAGGCACACAAATGCTGCTTTACCATGCGCCATTCTGCCGCGTTTGACTAGAGTTCAACAGGATAAGTCCCAATGTATAGTGCCCTTCTGTCCAGAAATACACCACGCAATCATCTGTAGATGGGCATGTTTGATGGGATTGCAACTTCCTGCAGGTAGCTTCGGAATTGTCCAAAACAGCTAAAAGTATTAGGGCCGTGAGTCCCGCTCACTCGTTTGGGGTTTTGCTCGTAGTATACACAGAGTAAGTTGTCACTGGTGTTACCATTGTTCCTAGTCATCCTCTAGGAATGGCTTTTCCGAACGGCTAGTGCCCACGGTGTACGTCCCTGCACGAGTGTTCTAAAACTCAAGGTAGTTTTCTCTACCCTGTTGGGAGAAAATAGATGAAACCAGTCTTGAATAGCATTATTGGGAGCGAACAACACAGAAATACTCTGAAATACACTTGATGGCTTCCTGCATCCGATCAACTGTTGGTTTTATCAGGGTCATTCCGATTTACCTCATGCGACGGCTGCAGTGGGTTAGTGCTCCATGCGTATTCGATACACCGGCAACCGGCACAAAGGACCAAGTTAGGGTTGAGTATTCCACCTCGGTTCCATTTGGTTCTATTCGTACGAGGTGAATATCATGTTGGTGTTTATGCTATCTGGCTTCACCTCGAAACCCGGTAATGCCAGCTTACCTACTGTCTTCCTGGACTCCCTTCAGCTTCGTCAGCTTTTTCTGGGTTTGTTCGAGTACCCATGGAGTGAAGTACTATTGCACGACTAACCTATCATTGCGCGTTTATGTGAAGGATGTCAGTTTCATATGGTGTTTTAGTTTATGGCCAGATGGATTACAGCAACATCATGGTTGTATGCATCCGGCACCATTGAAATCAACAGCAATCTCGGGTCGAGGCATTTCTAGTCGGTGCAGTTGTCAATTGGACTAAACATATAGGCATCTGTTCGGACCCCAAGCGATTCAGATAGATAACTGGGAGTGGAGATGATTCCTTTCAGACTTTGAGTATGTTCTTTCATCTCCACTTATCTGTTGATTAGCCGACACTTTTACGTCCGTTTTTGGATATTTTGTTGCGGCTTTTAACCGATGGCTTACTCGAGAGAAAAATCTTCCATGAACAACGTGGTTTGGTCATTAAATGCACTTTCTTACTTTGTACCTATTAACTACAAAAGAATTCTCGTGCATTCTCTGCACTATCGGGCCGAAAGTATTTGCAATCCAGAATCGCTTGAAAATGAATTGGAGTTTATTCAAAAACGCTGCAGATCAACGTGTATCCGGCGACGTTTGTCAAAATCTTTCCGCTGTTTCTGATCAAACCTACGCAATACCGACTGCAAGAAAGATGAATGTTTACCTCTCAGTTCCTTTCAAGGAAGATATCGCTTTCCACTTACTGAATAGGAGACTATCCCTGGCGGTAAGAAAGACATATCCGGCCGCTAAGGTTCATACATTTGCTGAAACTGTTCCACTCGTCACGCAACGCCTCAAAGATCAACGGCTTCCAAATCGAGTTACAAATCGATACGGTTTCGTATATCACCCTGATATCTCGCGAAACTTGGTGCATTCTGGGGCGACCGACACTCATACAAACGGGCCACACGGCACGGAATGTTTCAGAAGGTACGTTAAAACTGCTTGGTGAACTGAATTGTCAGGTAAACCTCCACGATAAACAAATCCAGGCGACATGTTACGTGACAGACCAGCCGGGGTTAGATTTGCTGGGGCTCGACTGGATGGATGAACTGAATCTGCTTGATCAATCAGTGAACGGTATAGGTCAGCCACCACAAGTCAATCTGCTATCGCAACCGTCGACTTCAAGCCCGACGTTTCAAAGTCAGGTTACCGAGATAAAACGACGTCACGAGGCATTGTTGCAACTTGGTCTCGGATGCTGCAACATAGCTACTGCCTTAAACCAGATGCCAAGCCAGTCTTTAGACTAAGGCGCCCGGTGCCCTACGCAACCCAGTCCTTAGTGGAAGTCGAGTTAAACCGACTACAATCTAAAGGGATAATCGAAAGAGTCCACTGTTCAGAATGGGCTGCACCTATCGTGGTGGTAAAGAACGGAAACGGTAAAGTCCGTATTTGTGCTGATTTCTCGACAGGTTTGAATTCTCTGTTGGAAGATCACCAGTATCCCCTGCCGGTACGAGAAGACTTGTTCAGCAAACTCAATGGGAGAAAATGTTCCGCAAAACTTGAAATAGGTGATGCGTATCTGCAAATCCCATTTGCCCATCAGTGCAGAACATTGCTGACAGTAAATACCCACCACAGAATTTTTCAGTACAACCGGCTGCCGTTTGGAGTGAAAACCGCACCGCCACTTCTTCAACAAATAATTGATACCTTGCTGAGCGATATCCAAAATACAGCAGTATACCTGGACGGTGCGTTGGTTATGGGCTCAGATCAGCAAGAGTTGATACAGACACTGGTGAGTGTGCTTTCGAGTCTCGAAGAAGCTGGATTCCGATTACGGGCTGAACAATGCGAGTTCCTATTAGAAAGTGTCATATTTCTTGGGTTTATCATAGGCAAACATGGTCGGCGCCCGGATCCCGCCAATATTAAGCCATCAAAAAGTTGTAGCCCTCAGAAGATATTGCAGAGCTCCGCTCGGTTCTTAGACTCGTTTGCCCTTACAGTGCTTTCTTACCAAGCCTTCACCAAATCAGATGTCCGCTTAATCAGCTACAGACAAAGGACAAGGGTTGGAAATGAACGAAGGAGTGCCAGCAGTCTTTTGATGCAGTCAAAGCAGCTCTCACTTCTGATCTACTCTTGACTCACTTCAATCCGAAGTTCAAACTTGTCGTTGCTACGGACGTTTTCAATTATGGTATCGGTGCTGTTATCTCACGTTTTTCCGCATGGAGGAGAGAAGACTATCATGCACGCAGCACGGTCACTAACGGCAGCTGAGAAGTACTATAGCCAGATAGGGAAGGAAGCGCTCGCGATCGTTTTCGCAATGAAATGGTTCCATAAGATGCTGTATGGCAGCAATTTCACGCTCCTGACTGACCACAAGCCACTTCTGTCAATATTCGAGTCAAAGGAAGGAATTCCAATTTTTACCACAAACGGGTTGCAATGATGGGCGACCATACTGCTGGCCTACGACTTCAGTATACAGTATAAACCGACGCAACTAATCGGTCAAGCGGATGCCCTGTCTCGTCTCATCAGTTCACACCCAAAGGAGAATAATTATTATGTGATTGCAGCTATCAGTTTCGAAGCAGAAGTCCAACGAAGCCTGGCTGATAATGTGAGAAGACTACCAGTAACAGCCGACACCATTTGTACAGAGACATCACAGGACAGAATCTTGGAGAAAACGATGCAGTGTGTACGAACATGGCCGAATGGAGGCATACCTATGGTGTTGCGGCCGTTATACAATCGAGGTGGATCCCTGTCAGTCGTGGACAATTGTTTGATGTTTGGAGATCGAGTGGTGGTGTCAACGAAATTGCAGAGGCAAATATTGCAGCAGTTCCACACTGGGCACCCTGGTACCAGCCACATGAAAGCCTTGGCACGCAGTTTTGTTTACTGGCCAGAAATGGATTCACAAGTGGAAAAATTTATGCCAAAATGTGAATTTTGTCAACTTACAGTGAAGGCCCCTCCAAAGTGTCAGTGGTAACCTTGGCCTAAAGCAGAGAAACCGTGGCAAAGAATACACTTCGACTATGCAGGACCAATCAATGGTCGACTCATACACAAAGTGGCGTGATGTGATTCCGGTAAACAATCCGACTGCCAAGCAAACTGTCAACGAGCTGGAGAAGCTGTCCCGATATTTCGGCCTGCCAGAGGTGTTTGTGACAGACAATAGAACACAATTTACCTCGACTTATTTCTGCGAGTGGTGCAAGGTAAGGGAATTCAGTATATGTTCTTACCACCATATCATCCGCAATCAAACGCACAGGCGGAAACGTTTGTGGATACGTTCAAACGTGCATATTTTAAAGCAGGGCAAAGAAGGGCTTCGCAAGATGCAATTCAATCTTTCCTATGCATGTTTCGGAACGCTCCGCATTCAAAGTCCCCTAATGGGAAAGCCCCCACGGAAGTACTATTTGGAACAGAGATCCAGATGTTGTTCGATAAGCTTTTACCAAGGAGAATATAAAAACACGGTAGTAGTCACCTGGAGGAAGATCGCTAAGTCAGGCTCCGTAACTTAAATATGTGTGACATGGTTTACGCCCGAGGTTTTCGAAGGCCGAAGGGGTGGTCGAGCGGAACTGTTATCGGCAGGAAACGCAGAGTTATCTACGAGGTGATGGTTGGACGTGAGAGGTGGATTAGGCCCATCAATCAGTTGAGACAGAACCATGGCAAAATTCAAGTCCCCACGAACCACCAGCTTTGCATTGGGACATTCTACTAGACACGTTCGCACTGGAAGTTGAGGGTCAGCAACCCGGAGAGACAAAGCAAATGCCGCAGAAACCAGATGCACAACGCACGCCGCCTCGGAAGCCGAGAAAACCACAATGACTGCAAATGGATCCCCGGGCGAAAAGCTACGAACACAATCAGGTTCGAAGGGTGTGCAAGCTGACTCAATTCGGAAAGGGAGGTGAAAGCTGGGCGACAAACGGATTGCCAACGCTCGCCTGTTTGTCACAAATCGGGCATGGGAAAGACCCTGCGAGCATGTTGCAAAGGGCCCAGCCGAAAGCTGAGGAAATCGCGCAGCAGATAGCAGGCGTGTTGCCAAGGCCTGACCGAAAGCTGATGAAAGCAAAAGAAAAGTGGATTGCTGTCTGTGGTCTATCAAATAACCTTGAATCCGACTGAGCGTCATGCAAGAATTGCTTGGTGATTCTAAAGGTTGTCGAAAGAAATCTAGTAAACATAATGTGGTAAGTACACTGTTTGCGTTCTCAGGTTTCCATAAAGCATAAAAGATCGATCACATTTGTATGTGGAACGTAAAAGCCATATAATCGAGCATTTAGCAGAACTACGATTCGAGCTTCGTACAGATTTCCCCGTAAAGAGAAAGCAAGATACATCGTGGGATGTGCCCAAAGCATATAGCAAGAGCCTGGGTCTAAGAGCTATGTTTAGGTTCTGATAATCCGATTGACTGTCGCAACTGGCGTTACTTGGCAACTTCGGCCCATTCGAGACCCGCAGTGTTGGTAGGAATTGCAAAATGAACCCTGAAAAATGTAGATTTTACGGAAGGAGGTAAGGTGAAGGAAGCACATGCGATCACTGCAATCAGTGACGATGAAGCGCGTGAGCTACATAACATGTATCGTAAGGACTAGTTGAGAACACTTCTGCGGCGCAACATATGCAGACAAGGCAGGCGGGCATAAGTACATAGAAATAGCTAGCCTCAGTGATTGCTATTGATAAAAAGATCCCTCTCATTGTGGACTCGATTCACCCCATTATCTGTAGTCTGGAAGTAGTTTAAGCAGGACAGAATGAGAGGGCGGTTACTCAGTGCTCTAAGGTGGCCTGTCCACAGCCAACAAGCAATGGAATGCAGACGATTCCCTCATCTGATACCGAAACGTGGGAGGACATGGTCAGTACCCGTAGCCTCATCAAGAAGCCTAGTGTTGGGACTCACTTGCGATTCTTCGATCACCGATGATGCTTGGGGTGTTTCTATGGAATTCTTTGAAACGTTGGATTTCAAATTGGTCATGGTTTCGGACAACGATAAGTTTTGTTCCTGAAGATGGCAAAGGGCATATCCGCATTGCGCATTTATGGTCAAAACGCATCCGGCAAATTATACTGAGCAAATGAAGTGAAATTAAGACGAATTTTATAGATATACATCGTTCTCAGTCTGACACTGATAGGTTAGCAAGACCAAATCGTACTAGCAGTTCGGCAAACTTTGTGGTGCGGTGAGACTTGGGGAATTCCATCTTAGTGTACTACATTGATACAGGTTGGTCAATTCAATACCCAGGCAGACAGCACCATATGTTCCTCCATGGCTTGCAGAAGCTTGTCGATATATTTGGGCAGACCATCAAAGGAGACCCATGCTAGTAGGTGGCATGTTGTTAAGAATAGTGAAGTAGCAGGGAGACTAAAAGATCGATCAGTAAATTGGACATATTTATCACAGATGTTCAATGGGAAGTTTGTGGTGATTGAATCAGACGCAACTCACTTCCAGCTTTTGAATCGCTTTTCCCTTTTCATGCAACTCGTCCACCAATTTTGCTACTCTGTCCTCGACTGTCTTCAGATGCGCTAAATTGGTATCGATAGTCTGAAATCGAGCAAGTACAGCATTGAATGTGCGGAAAGCAGAAACATGAATTGGGTGAATGTCGAGCGTAGTCTGCATTATGAACAAGATATGGAGTTTGGGGTGACGCTGGTAAACCCCTGTTATATGGTTACTATACAATGGACATGTTGCATAACGCCTGTGATGGGTGCTTCCAACCAATGGGATTGTCTCCTTGGTCAGTTGTTCATGATGCACGGACCCGGACGAGCAAAGTGCAGGTGGTCATTCATGTCTCATTTCCCACAAATAGGTGGCTGCGTAATCAAACATATGGGACTGGTCAAAGGGGTGCGCGTGCTAGGCGTTTACATCTGGATCTCAGTAATATGTGTTTTTGTGGCGAATTTCCCATTTTGCGACAGGGCAATTTACGCAAGAACACTTTTAGAATTGACAAAAGACCTGAGTTTGTCTTGGTTAACTGAAGTGATCAACGTCCTCGTATTAACGTGGTGCAGACAATTCCGCTCTGACTTCAGTGATCCACCCTAGTGTTCGGTCTGATTCATTTTCCAATCTTGGCACCTGAACCTGCCAAGATTGGTTAGAAATTCGCTGTAAGTGGCAACCTTAGGAAGTATTCCGTTTGTGCTATCCAACGGATATAATATCGTGACCTTACCCTTACTATCCGATGGGATATGGTGAAATAAGTGCGGACTTCAGAATCCGAATTGCTTTGTCCAACCAGGATCTAATTTAATGGCCATTAAAAGTGATTGGTGACCGAGCCTCCAACCGTCCATAAACGCGCTCCTAAAATCCAGCAAATATCCTGCACCTACACCAGTGTACAGGAGCTACCGTATTTCCGCTGGACATCAGGTATCCCAACTACTGGACTTCATGGGATTACCGACGTTTGGCTAGGCCATGAGATGAATAACTTTGTGAGCTCTAGCCTACATATCACTTCTTCGAGACGGCAAAGCTGGAAGAAGAAGCGAGGTAATTTCTGTTCGCAGAACTAACCGATGTAAACTCATCGATCAACGATAAACCCACGCCCCTGGTTCTCCGTTACCGGTTGTAGTTACAGAACAGTGACACATGTCTGTTGGTCGACATTTATCATCCACTTAATTCAACACTGCGAATGCATTGAACTCCAACTTCCGCTTCGCACATTACTCTGAAACGGGCAAGATTTCGAATGCTCATCATAGGAGATTTTAATGGGCACGAGTTGAGGGTGCCAGATCACACTGGATTGTAGTTTAAGGTCGATTTCCAAGAGTTAACTTCAGCCTACCTCGTTAGGAACACGTTACATTTTCCGCCATATATCGTATGGTGAACAAGTCAACGATACCTGATCTTGTGCTCACTGATGAGGAACTTGTGCATTACCATGTAGTTACAAGAAGCACTGCGGGTTCTATTGGCCAAGAAATTTTTCAGCTTGACCGACATTGCTGTCCAGAATACCGCAAGGAATAGGCTGACAAGATGTATACTGTCGTGTAAGTCAACGCATTATCCACACTCATTAGGGAAACGCGTTGGACCCCACTAGTTGATTACAGCCACCAATCACTTGGTAAAATTCCACAATCACATTAGCGCGCTGGATATGCATGTGTTAGAACAGAAGTTCCTGCATTACGTCTACACTGCAAATTCATTTTGAAGGTGGAGAACACAAAATCTATGTACAAAAGGAATTTGGATAATCTATTTCCCTGAGGCTCTTGCAAGTGGGCTGCGTACGATATTCAACTTAAATTCCCTGCGCGATTGATCAGCAAGGTGAATTTGACACGGTAACCGGAATTAGGGATGCAATGCTACGTAAATCCCAAGCCCATTTTGCAACTACGTCAATAGCCTTCGTTAGTTGTGGTGCGCAGTCTTTCCACCGATTAATCTTACTAAGTACAGGAAGTCAGGAGGCGTCACGACCAGTGCTTCGCAGCCTCTGTACTGCTCTATCTTCCAGATGGTTAAGTGTCTAGACGTCTTTTACGCAGAGAAAGCTTACAGTCGGCGATCAAGCCGAGAGCAGTGGATCGATCTACAATTGGAGATCGAACTCGGGTAAAGATCAGAACGCGAATCTATGTGGAATCAACGGCAATTTGCACCATGAACTTGAAACGTTTGCGTTGTGTTAATTAATATTAATTAGCGTCTCCAATATTGTTGTGTTAGTAGTTGCCTGCAATCTATTTATCGCGCCATGCTCGCACACAATAGGAATCCGAATCCGAATCGGAATCCCTCGGTCCGTCTGGTCTTAGTGTTCTCCTTTCGTTGCGGTTTGAACTGGTTGGTGGGTGGGGGGGGCACAACTGATTCAGGCAGGTTAGCCGTGCATTCAGTGGCAACCACAACAGATATCTGGCGACGGTCATCTGCGCGGTAGCAGCAGGTTAGTCCGTACATTCAACGGAAACCACAACTACGTCCCTCCAGTTTTTCTTGTTTCGCCATATGTTTTGTCTAACGTCTCAACCGTTGAAGCCGTGTAGAATTGGTCTTCATCGCTACGTATCTACAGGTCTGCTGGAATAAATAACACTGGCCCAAAAGCAGTGCAAACAGCAACCGGGGATCTGACTGGATTGGCGGCGACGTTGTACAATGGTTGTCTAGAAGTGAACAACGCTTCGCCAAAGTGGAAATACGGAAACATCGCATCTATTCATAGAAGAAGTTGTATCATTGAATCTTGAGACCAACAACAATTATCGCTATTTTCAGTTGTTTACGTCAATATTTTTTCATGTTTTTTTGCGGTTTAGGAATATTATTACTGTGGCAATAAGCAACAAACAGCATTGAGTAGGGGATTATCATAATTGCTGTCTAGGCCTTACGTGTTCTCGATTGCGTAATATTGTGGGGGCAATTTGCCAGACAGTCATTCTTGCCTCGGCTGTTACTGTCGCTCTATAGTGCTTACAAAAATCGCCATTAAATATGGTACCAATAGCGGAAGCGCAGACAAAACGCTACAATTAGCTTTAGCCGTCTGAACTGAGTATACCATACAGCATTCTATGGTGTCTACGGAATCGCTGTTACATCTGGAGCTGACAACCATGCAATGCTCTCCGAAACTCAGTCGTTTCCTCCCCTAACGCTGTAGGTGCACAGAAATGAGTAGACATCGCTTTTAGCTCCTTACCTTAGGTTATGTAAACTGTGCTGCTCTAACAGGTTCCAGTGGCAACAAGTTTGGCCGGGGTTTTACAGGATCTGGTACGCCAGTGAGGTCGCCTCATAGTGATGATTTCCAATGTACACTCCTAAAGATTTCGGTCGCGCATGACATGGCAGGTAAAACAATCGCTTCATAATGTTTGATGTTCTTCGGTGTGTGGTCTTCAATGCAACCAGATCGCGTTTTAACCAGGGTTGCCAGACCTGAATGTCGGATTCTAAGTGGTTCAGAAAACCTCTCCTTACAAGCATGGATGCAGTGGAGGACATCTTTCTAACATCAGGTGACCCCTTCTATTGAGTTGTCCGATGCGCACTGGATAATGTTAGTTCTCCAAGCACTTGGTTCAGAAGGACAACGACATTTTGATGCCGTGAATTTAATGGATAAACAGAGTATCGTACATGAGATCCGGTTGTCCGAAGAGCTATGGAGAATTCAGCAAAGCGTATTTTCTGCTCGTTACCAGTCCAGTAAATTCCAGCAACAACGCGGGGATAGCGCAAATGACTTCATTGCGCGCACACACCAAGCGACACCCGAATGCCGATACAATACAATTCCCTGAACGCGTGTCCAAAAGTCATGAAAAGTTAGTGATTTATCGATCGAGTTATGGATGAAGGCGCGAGAGAAATGTTACTATCACAAGGGGAAGGAACCAATTCATAAAAAACCACTTGCAACCTCGTGCGTCAAATAGAAAACCTGAAAATTCAGTTTCACTTCTTCAACCCTCTTCAGCCTACAGAGTGTTTAAGCAAACTGGCTCCATGTTTTTCCCCCGAAACCGGGTTACGACAGTTCGTCTGCTTCCGATGTGGTGACCATCACGCTTCCCCCACCCAGTGCCCACACATTCGCAAGAAGTGCAGGAATTGCGGAAAAATTGGCCACTTGGCACGTGTTTGCGGTTCTCCACGATCATAAACTTCGATTAAATCATTGAACCAGGACGACGGTGAATGCGCTAATTCCCAGTTAAATTTTACGGTCTATATAATTGGAAATCGCTCCATTATGACGAGAGCATCTGTCTCTAGGATCCCGCTTCATATTAATGGCGAACCCGTTTTATTTAACTTGGAAGCCGGTTCCGCTGCTAAATTGATTAGCGGAAACGCGTTCTCATCTTTGTCTAATCGGGAGCCGAGTGATACCGTTTTCAAAACCTATACAGGAGAAGTGGTTGACATACCTGGGAAGTGTCAGGTACGAGTTAAACACCAGGGTAGATCGCCTTCATGTTGTCCCTCAAAGTTCAGTCAATCTACTGGGTCGTGACTGGATGGAACAGTTACCATAAGTATTAAATAATATACATGCAGTGAGGGAGGACACTTGAGCGATATCCAGACAGTTTGTAACGAACACCAATTGGGAAAACTCAACAATTTTAAAGCAAAAATTCATATGGCGCACCCATATCAAGTCCAAACAAGTCGAGATAAGCTTTATACACCCGTGTGGGAGCATTTTCAGTAACTTACACACACTGCGGACATACTAGAGCATACAATCGGTGGAAAAATGATGTGAATTGACACGAACAACAACAAATAGAGTTCATTTTCAAGCAACTAAACCTTCTCGCAATTGTCGTATCATCACTCTTGCGTTAGCTAACTAGCGAGACAGGTAGGGCAAACTACAGTTGCAATACGAAGAGGTACGGAAAAAACGTTATTTCAACAGCGCGGAAGAACTGGATTCCGAACTAGCTAAGGCGGCGTGTAGGGCGTGAGAGGGATTCTTTAGAATTTTGGATGGGAAGTTAAAGCATGCGTCAAGATGTTCGCTAACCACAAATCAACAAGAGATATTGTGCTTAGTCCAGAACATTGGGAAATAATGGTTAATGATCGCACAAGTGGAGTATACTCCTTTT